TGGGTGCAGGGACTGGGTGCTGAAACTTGGATTTCAGAGGAGAGGCCTGGGAGAGGACTGAGGTTAGTTGCACAGAGACAGCCTGAAGGGATGGAGATACCAGCTGCAACTGGGATTGTATACAACAGAGCCCAGGCCCACCAGAAAAGCCCCATTGTTAACACAGGAGAAGGGAGGGGCAGCACTCCACCACAGCAGCCTCCTTCTCTGAGGGCTCACAGCTGGCATGGCTTTGCCTCTCTAAGCTCTGGGAGGGCTGTACCCAAGCACAGGCAGAGCTAAAATATGAGCCCATTCCTAGAGACCACATGACTTCAGAAGCAGAGCTGAAATCTGAACTGTGTTCCAGGTTACTTGGGCAGATTTACACCACTGCTGGTGCTTTGTAAGATCAGCACCTATGTGACATCTGAGCAGACTACTGGTGCGTGACTGGGGCAGGTCAGGCATTCGCAGCTGTGGGTTTGTGGGCATGCACGGAAGCTGGGATGGGGTTGGGGCTGACTCTCAGCACCCACAGTGGGTCCAGGTGCATAACTACCTGAGACTATGGTGAGTCCTGGTGCCTGACTTCAGCAGATCTACCCTGGGAACTTGGTGAACACAGCACTGAGAGATACAGATATCCTGGAAGATTGCCAGCATCCCCACAGCTGAGGCAGGACAAAGGGCAGTGCCAACATGTACCTTGTGAGCCCGTACAACAGATGACAGGTGACATCACAGAGTGCACTTCCCAGTGGACAGGTCTTTTAAAGGAATACTCCCTGCCTCCTCTCCCAGCAGAAGTGTTCTAGTCCTGCCGACCTCACACCACAGCTCAGAAATGGATCTGAGGGCTTCTACTCAAATAACTGGGGAGCATAACCGGCCCAGACAGAGATGTGACAAGCACAGAGAAAACAGGAGGCCTCATTCAATATCCAGTGCAAGCTCTGGGCACCACAAGAATCACATCCCCTGTCAAAAGAATAAAAGCCAGCATACACAAAGACATGGCAGACATCCACATTAAAAACAGCTCTTACAACAAAGACATTAGACTCACACAGACTACATAGAGACGCTTCCACCTAAAAACAGCCCTTCAAGACCACAGTAGATAACTGTTGCTCCTAAATGCATAGAGTCAGAGAAATATAAGTAAAATAAAGAAACACAGGAGCCACTCCCAATTAAAAGAACAACAGAAATCCCTGAAAGAAATAATGAAACAGACCTCTTTGGTCTACTAGATTTGAAGTTCCAAAAGGAGATAATAAAAGTACTGAAGGAATTAAGACAGCCTATCAATAGAAATTCAGATCACTGTAACAAAGAACTAGAAACTATGAAGAGGAGCCAATTAAAATTAGAAAACTCATTTGCCAAAGATGAAAGCTGAGTTAAAGGCAATAAATAGCAAACTAAATAATGCAGAAGAATGAATAAGTGATCTGGAAGCCAGAATAATGGAAATCACCCAATCAGAACAGCAGGCATAAATAAAAACGGGGGGGGGGGAGCAATATAAGAGATCTATGGGATAATATAAAACATGACAATCTATGCATACATAGGGACCCAAGAAGGGGAAGAAAGGAAAAGGGGGACCAAAAATGTATTTGAAGAAATTATAGCTGAAAACTTTCCAAACCTAAAGAATGGAACAGCTGTTCAGGTATAGGAAGCACAGAGGGTCCCAAACAAGATGATGCCAAACAGACTTACAGTAAGACATATTATAATTAAAATGGCACAGGGTAAAGATAAAAAGAGGATTCTAAAGGCAGCAAGAGAAAAACACAGAGTTAATTACAAGGGAACCTCCATAAGGCTATCAGCTGATTTCTCTACATAAATGTTGAAGGCCAGAAAGGAGTAGAAAGATATTTTCAAAGTCCTGAAAGGGGAAAACCTGCATCCCAAGATACTCTACCCAGAAAGATTATCATTTAGAATAGGAGAGATAAAGAATTTCTCAGACAAGCAAAAATTAAAAGAACACAGCAATACTAAACCTATCCTAAAAGAAATATTGAAAGGTCTTCTCTAAACAGAAAAGAAGCAAGAGTCTACAGAAAAGAGAAAATCACAACTGGAGATGTGATGATAACCACAATGAACAGCAAAAGAATAAAAATGAAAATGTAAAAGAGGACATTAAAATCATAAAATGTGGGGGAGGAGAGTAAGAAAATGTAGATTTTTGTGGGTTTTTTTAGAATGTGTTTGAGCCTATATGATTACCAGTCTAAAGCAAGCAGATATCCTAATGGATTAACATATTTAAAAAACAGGGTAACCAGAAATCAAAAACATACATCAGATTCAGAAAAACACAAAAAGAGAACTCAAGCATAATACAAAAGAAAATCATCAAAACACAAAAGAAAAAACAAAAAGAAAGGAACAAAGAAGAAAATTCAAAATCAACTGGAAAGCAAGGTTTAAAATGGCAATAAATACATATCAACAAATACTTTAAATGTCAATGGGCTAAATGCTCCAATCAAAAAACAGAGTGACAGACTGGATAATAAAACAAGAGCCTACAATATGCTGCCTACAAGAGAGAGACCCACTTTAGGCCAAAGGATTGAAAGTGAGGGGATGGAAAGATACTTCATGCAAATGGAAATGACAACAAAGCAGGGATAGCAATATTCATATTAGACAAAATGGACTTTAAAATAAAGGTCATAAAGGAAAATAAAGGACACTATATAATTATAAAAGGATCAATGCAAGAAGATGATATTGCACTCATTAACATATATGTACCCGATACAGGAGCATCTAAATATATAAAACAAATAGTAACAGACATAAAGGGAGACACTGATGGAAATACAACAATAGTCGGAGACTTTAACATCCCACTAACACCAATGGACAGTTCTTCCAGACAGAAAATCAAGACAATGAAGATCCTAAATGACACAATAAAAGTTAGATGTAATTGATATTTTTAGGACATTACATCCCAAAAAACCTAGAATATATATTCTTTTCAAGTGAATGAACATGAAACATCCTCAAAGATAGACTGTATACTAGGACACAAAAAGAACCTTAACAAATATAAAAATATAGAAATTATTTCACACATCTTTTCTGACCACAACAGCATGAAACTAGAAATCAACCACAGAAAGACAAATGAGAAAAAAACTAACTGTATGGAGACTAAACAACACGCTACTAAAAAGCCAATGGGTCAATGATGAAATTAAACAGGAAATTAAGAAATATCTCGAGAAAAATGACAATGAAAACACAACTACACAAAATCTATGGGATACAGCAAAAGCAGTCCTAAGAGGGAAGTTCAAAACAACACAGGCCTTCCTCAAAAAACAAGAAAAATCTCAAATAAACAACCTAACCTACCACCTAAAAGAATTAGAAAAAGAAGAACAAACAAAACCTAAAGTCAGCAGGTCAAAAAAATTATAATAAAGATCAGAGGGAAATAAATAAAATAGAGATTAAAAGAAAAAAAATCAATAAAACCAAGAGCTGGTTTTCTGAAAGGGTGAACAAAATTGACAAATCTCTGGCCTCACCAAAGAGAGGACCCAAATAAACAAAATAAGAAAGAAAGAGAAATAACAACTGATACCACAGATACAGAAAAAAAACCATTAACAGAATACCATCAACAATTACATGCCAACAAACTGGACAACCCAGAATGGACAAGCTTTTAGAAATATAAAGTCCACTAAAACTGAAGCAAGAAGAAAAAGATAATTTGAAAAGACCAATCACTAGAAGTGAAACAGAATCTGTAATTTAAAAAAACAAAACAAAAAACCAAAACTCCCTGCAACAAAAGTCCAGGATTAGATGGCTTCACTGGGGAATTCAAACAAACATACAAAGTAGAACTCATACCAATCTTTGTCAAACTCTTCCAAAAGACTGAAGAGGCGGGAACTCTGAAACTCATTCTATGAAGCCACCCACAATCACCCTGATACCAAAACCAGACAGACACTACCGAGAAAGAAAATTACAGGGCAATATCTTTGATTAATATAGATGCAAAAATTCTCAACAAAATATTAGCAAACCAAGCCAAACTACACATAAAGAAGATCATACACCACAATCAAGTTGGATGGATCCCAAGGTTACAAGGATGGTTCAATGAACGCAAATCAATCAATGTGATGCACCACATCAACAAAATAAAGGACAAAAAACACATGATCATCTCAATAGATGCAGAAAAAGTATTCAATAAAATTCAACATTCATCCATGATAAAAACTTACCAAACTGAGTATACAGGGAACATATCTCAACATAATAAAATGCATTTATGACAAACCCACAGCCAACATAATGCTCAATGATCAAAAGTTGAAAACCTTCTAGCCTGCTAAAATCTGGAACAAGACAAGGACACCCTCCTCTCACCACTTCTGTTCAACATAGTACTGAAAGTCCTAGCCATGGCAATCAGACAAGGAAGAGAAATAAAAGGGATTCAAACTGGAAGGGAAGAGGTAAAACTTTCACTATCTGCAGAGGACATGATACTATGTATAGAAAACCCTAAAGACTCCACACAATAACTACTAGAACTGATAAACTACTTCAACAAGGTAGCAGGATACAAGATTAACATAAAGAAATCTGTTGCATTAACAATGAAATATCAGGAAAGAACAGTAAAAAAAAAATCCCATTTAAAATCTCATTAAAAAATACTAAGGAATAAACCTGATGGAGGAGGTGAAAGATTTATATGCTGAGAACTATAAGACACTGATAAAGGAAATTGAAGATGATTTAAGGAAATGGAAAGATAGTCCATGTTCTTGGATTTGAAGAATCAATATTAAAATGGCCATACTAACCAAAGCAATTTACAGATTTAATGCGATCACTATCAAATTACCCATGACATTTTCCACAAAACTAAGACAAATAATCCCAAAATTTATATGGAATCATGAAAGACCCAGAATTGCCAAAGCAATACTGAAGAAAAAGAACAAAGCTGGAGAAATAACTCTCCCAGACTTCAGGTAATACTACAGATCTACAGTAATCAAAACAGCATGTTATTGGCACAAAAACAGACATATGTACCAATGGAACAGATTAAAGAGCCCAGAAATAAACCCACAAGCCTACAGTCAATCTTTGACAAACGAGGCACTAATACACAATGGAGAAAAGACAGTCTCTTCAGCAAGTGGTGTTGAGAAAGCTGGACAGCTGCATGTCAAATCAATGAAGTTGGAACACTCCCTCACACACACCATACACACACAAAAAAACTCAAATGGCTTAAAGATTTAAACATAAGATAGGACACCACAAATCCCAGGCAAACATAGGCAAAACATTCTGACATAAATCACAGCAATGTTTTCCTAGCTTAATCTCTCAAAGCAAAAGAAATAAAAGCAAAAATAAACAAATGGGACCTAATTAAACTTAAAATCTTTTGCACAGCAAGGGAAAACATAAGCAAAGCAAAACAACAACCTACAAAAAAGGAGAAAATATTTGCAAAGGATGTGACTAACAAAGGCCTTATTTCCAGAATATACAAACAACTCACATAACTCAATAACAAAAAAACCAACACCCAATCAAAAAATGGGCAGAAGATCTAAAGACATTTCTCTAAAGACATATAGATGGCTAAGAGGCACATGAAAAGAAACTCAGCATCACTAATTATCAAATAAATGCAAATCAAAACTACAATGAGTTATCACGTCACACTGATCAGAATGGCCATCATTAGAAAACCTACAAACAATAAATGCTGGAGAAGGTGGGGAAAAAAGGGAACTCTTCTACACTGTTGGCAGGAATGTAATTTGGTGCAAACAATAGAAAACAATATGGAGGTTCATTAAAAAACTAAAATAGAGTTACCATATGATCCAGCAATCCCACTCCTGGGTATTTATCTGGAAAAAACTTTAACTTGAAAAGATACATGCACCCCAGTGTTCATAGCAGCACTATTTACAATAGCCAAGACATGGAAGCAACTTAAATGTCTTGTTGACAACAGATAAAGAAGTGATGTATATACATACAATGGAATACTATTCAGCCATAAAAAGAATGAAGTAATGTCATTTGTGACAACATGGATGGACCTAGAGATTATCATACTAAGTGAAGTAAGTCAGATAAAGAAAGAAAAATACTATATGATATCACTTACATGTGGAATCTAAAAAATGATAGAAATGAACTTATTTACAAAACAGAAACAGACTCATATAGAAGACAAACTTATAATTACCAAAGGGGAGAGGGGAGGCATAAATTAGGAGTTTGGGATTAGCAGATACAAACTACTATATGTAAAATAGATAAACAACAAGATCCTACTGTACAGCACAGGGAACTATATTCAGTACCTTGTAATAACCTATCATGAAAAAGAACATGAAAATGTATATATAACTGAATCACTATGCTGTACACTAGAAACTAACACAACATTGTAATTCAACTATGCTTCAGTAACAAAAAAAAAAAGAAAAGGAATTTATTTAGAAGGTATCAAGCAAATCATATTGATAAGATATATGAACAAATGAGGAACCAGGGGAGAGTAGGCAAGAGTCCCAACTGAGACTGCACCTTGGGTGCCAGTTATATAGACAGCGCTGTTTCCTCTTTAGGACCTTGTGAGCCACTACTGGCACTGCTGCCACCAAAGACTGGAAGCTGGAAATGCCAGCATTATTGGAAGAAAAACTTTTGTTTCTGCCTCTCTATACAGTCTTACTCCACAATCAAGGTAGAGCTAAGAGGAGACAAGGAAGGGCTGGGGCAGGGCAGGGTAGGCCTAATTTGTATGTCCACATTACTAAGGGGAGTTGTTGGGGTGAAGAGATACTGGGGTGGGAGGGGAAATTGAGTATCAGGCTTTTGCAGACTCATGTGAGAAACATACTCTGACTCATAGTAGGGAATTCTTCAAAAGCAGAGGGGATTTTGATAGAGCATGCTACTTACTAGTCTATTGCTCTTTTAAATCCACCCTTCTATACTGTTCCGTGCTACTGGACTGGGATGCTGCAAACTACATTTCTCCTCTCCTAGCCTCCTTTGTTAGGTTCTCCCAATATAGGCAACATGGTAAATGGAGACTGGAAGCCAGGAAGAAGGTAGAAGAAATTTGTTGATTTTGTTTGTCTACTGTTTCCCATCAGCATCTGCCAAGCAAAGGTCCTCAGTCCTGGTAGTGGCAGCCAGTTCCAGTCTCCAGTCTCTTTTTAGAACTCCCTGAACCAATCTCACCTAGCTTCCTCAGAGGTACCAGTACCAACTGTGCAAGGGCCACTTCTTAGATATGTGAAGTGTAGCTCTGTAACACTCACCCTCAAACTACTAAGACATTACTACCAACTACACTGGTTATACTTCTAGATGTCTGAGACCCAGCTGCACAGGGCATTTCCTCTAAGTTTTTAAGACAGCAGATGAACAGTGTCCCTCTCCAGAAGTCTGAGCCTCAGCACTTAAGGGTTCATTTCTCTGATTCTAGAAGTACTCACTAGCCAAGCAGTCCTTTCAATTCAAATGTTTAAGCCTCAGTTCCTGGAGGCTCCTGCAATACTGGTACCAGTACCAGTGAGCATTGCTTTTTCTTCAGAAGTCCACGTCCCAACTCTGCAGGATCCTCCCTGCAACTTCTAGGTTCTAAAAACCCCAACCCTGTTCCTTTGTTCCTCTAGTCCAAGGAGTAGAAGCTAGTTCTTACAGTTACCACCTCTGTATTACTTTAAGGTTTTTCTTTTATTCTTTTAGTTTTTCCCTAATGATTTCCTATATTAAAAACTTTCTGCTGAAATACCTACAAGGGTTTCTGGTTCTCTGAGTGGACCACTGACACAATAAGCAATCCGAAAAAACAGCAAATTTTCAATTCATTATACATTCACTTAAAAACAGTATTTCCAAAGTTTGGAAATCGAATTAGAACAACTC